GATACTCTATCCTTAAGGAGGGAGAGCGTAACTCCTCACTCAATAAGTGTGGGCTGCACATAATGATTTTCTTCTTAAGAGTACAGTATGGAGAGAGAGAAAAAAAAGAGTAATTTTACAGTGCAGAAATCTGACAAAAACTATCTCAAGCCAGGTGATCAATGTTAACATCAACTGTGACAGGTCATTTTGAAAGATGGACTCATGATGCGATGTGACGAGAATGGCACTTTACCTCTGTAGTCTTCCTCCCAAAAACCATAACCCCAGTCTAATCCTGAGAAAAGCATCAGACAAATCCCAACTGAGGGACATTCTACAAAATACCTGACCAGTAATCCTCAAAACTGTCAAGATCATCAAAAACAAGGAAAATATGAAAAAATGTCACAACCAAAAGGAGCGTAAAGAGCCATGATGACTAAATGTAACGTGGTACCTTGGATGGGATCCTGAAACAGAAAAATGACATTAAGGGAAAACTGAGGAAATCTGAATAAACTATGGACTTTAGTTAATAATAATGTATCAATACTGGTTCAGTAATTGTGACAAATATGCTACACTAATGCAAGATGTTAAAATAGGAGAAACTAGGTGTGGGGTATATAGAAGCTCTCTGTACTATCTTTGCAATAATTCCACAGATCTAAAACTGTCCTAAAATAAAAGTTTAATAAAAAATTGAAAAATTTTAAAAAGAGGGGCCGGCCTTGTGGCCTAGAGGTTAAGTTCCATGCACTCTGCTTCAGCAGCCCAGGTTCATGGGTTCGGATCCTGGGCATGGACCTACACACTCATGGCCATGCTGTGGCAGCGACCCACATATAAAATAGAGGAAGACTGGCACAAATGTTAGCTCAGGGCTAATCTTCCTCACAAAAAAAAGAAGAAGAAGAGAGCCTGAGCAAGGACTGCCTTGCCAACACCCCTACACACGCATCCTACCTAAGGCAGCTCAGCAGGGCAAAGGGATTTTTTTTTTTTACCAAAGATTGGCACCTGAGCTAACAACTGTTGCCAATCTTCTTTTTTCTTTTTTTTTCTTCTCCTCAAAGCCCCCCAGTATACAGTTGTATATTCTAGTTGTGAGTGCCTCTCGTTGTGCTATGTGGGATGCCACCTCAGCACAGCCTGACAAGGGGTGCCATGTCTGCACTCGGATCCGAACTGGCGAAACCCCAGGCCGCCAAAGCAGAGCACGCGAACTTAACCCCTTGGCCATGGGGCCAGCCCCCGCAAAGGGATTTCTGATGTGAAACATCTATGGTGTGTAAGCAGGGGTGGTACAGGGGGGTGATGCCTCCAGATGATTCTGGTCTCCAAGGACTGTGAAGGAAGTACCTAGTAAGGCATCCAAACACCATTGTGGATTCTCAAGATAAAGACCTTTGAGAACCCCCAAAACCATATGCAGATTTCGGGTCACTGCTCACGTTGCCTTGGGGACATGTAAGATTTAATCCACACCTCAGACACTACCTTGGCAATGAGAATGTTAATAGGACACCTTAGGCTTCAACTAAGGAAATCTCCACTTGACTGGCTTAAACAATAAGGAAAATTTCTTATCTCACATAAGAAGTGCCAATATTCTAATGTAAAATTTTACTCTGTCATCTTCAGTGCCTCAGCCATTCCTCAGTTAACTCTCCTGGCACTTGATTTCAGATGTCACATGCAGAAGCAACAACATTTGGCAGAAGAGACCATCTCTTCAAGTGTGACTCTTCTGAAGAATACTGGTCAGGTATTCTGTAGAAAGTCCCTCAATATGAGTTTGTCTGATACTTTCTCATGATTAGACTGGGGATTTCAGATTTGGGGGAAGAATGCCACAGAGGTGCAAGTGTGACTCTTTTAAGGAGAAAGAAAACTTCCCCTCATAACTCACCAGTCACATCATGAGCCCCTTCCTAAACTAATCACTGGGAAGAATAATGAAATTACCGTAATTGGCTTAGACCAATCAAGACCTAGCCCTGAGTCACAGGCGAAGGAGATATACCAAACAAAACAGGGCTTGTGTGCAAAGATGAAGGTGGTGTGAGCGGCCTAGTGAGTAGGCCACCACCAGTGTCTGCTATAGGTAAAAACCCTGAAAGGCAGAGCCTTTACTCCAAAGGGACTACATTAACACAAACAAGCCTGTTTGAAAGTGGAAGAGAAAATTACAACTGTCAAATTTACCTCCCCTATCTCCAAGACTATCCCCACACAGAGGGATTTACATCAGTTATAGAAAATATGAAAGTTTCAGGTCTAGTTTGTTTTTTCTAAAATTGGATTTGTAATGTGTCAAGTTTGATACTTCTACACCGATGTGATCTCAGATCTGTACAATACCTAAGTAGGTACTATGATCCTCATTTTACAGATGAGGAAATGGGCCCAAAGCAGTTAAACAACTTGCCTCGACATCACATAGCTGGAAATTGAGCCAGAATTCTAACCTATAACTGCAGCCTTCAAAGCTTGAAATGTTTTCTAGTCTACCATATACTTCTCCAGATATAAGGGAGTAGTAGCAATAAAGGAAACAACTCTGAAATTTCATGTATAGTGCATCTAGATCAAGACTACCCTTTTTATTAGTAGCTCAGAGCCTCCTCATTAACCCCAAGAACAAACATTCACAAGCACTCCAACAAAGAAACTAAAGGTAGCTCAAAATATGCAATTGACATACAAGTGAGAGATCTAGATTTGTGAGCCCGCTGCACAGAATATTAACCAAACAAAAGTGAAGATACCTAGGGAAACATTTCCCAAACTAGTAGGTTTGTTACATTCTTCTGTACCATTATAACAAGTAGGCCGTGAAAATAGTAATCTATGATCAAATTCACTGAGAGACATTAGGTCAAACGAAACTCAACAGGCTTCTTTACTACCAGATTTTCCCAGAGCCTTTATATGCTAGCAAGCATTCTAAACTCCAAGAGAAGGATATATACTACTTATACTACTCCATATTTCCCTCCAAAAAAAAAGGTTTTCCTTTTTTATCCTGACAGCCTATGAACAATTCCTAGGACAATATTCTGTTTAACAGCATTTTGAGAAATACTGCTCTAAGGGGAAAGCAAAGGCCCAAGAATAGAGTCCATTATTAGGTGGTTGGAGGGGGAAAAAAAAATCCAGCAAAGAATATAGTGAAAAAGGTAGCAAGCAAATCTGGAGAGTAAATATTATAGAAGCAAGAAAGGAGATAGTTTCCAAAAAGCTAGAGACAATCAACAGGACCAAACTACTGAGAGATTAAATAGATTGAGGATAAAAATGTTTTTTGGATTTCACTAGGAAGACTGTCACTTGTGACCTTCAAGAGAATAGCTTCAGAAAGGGGGAGGAAAGAAGGATAGTACACAGATTGAAAAATTAGGATGGGGGATGAAAAAGGAAGTAGATAGGCATTTATAGACCACTAATAACTGGAGTTTTGCAGTGAAAGTAAAAAAAGAAATTGGTTGATTGGGAGAAGGGAGTCTACAGAGGAATAAAAAAAAAATTTAGAACACAGGACACCTACACCTGGTTGAAGGTAAAACTGAAAAACTACTGAAAGAAACTGATATTACAGTCCACTATGGAAGAAATGAAATCCAGAGTATAAATTACTAGATAAAACACCTTTTCTATCAGAACAGAAAGAATTTGAATTGTAATGCCTAACCATTTCAAGTCTGAAACCTCATTTTGATACTCCAAAATTTCACAGATTTCTCCCTATTCCACTCAAGAGAATTTTTCAGTCTTTAGAGTTCAGTGTGTACTGTATCTATAAATTTGCTGATCTCTTGCTCCTCTCAGAGGATGCCTATGTTGTGGTGAAGAGGAGGGGGTTACAGAGAAGCACTTACCTGAGGGCCTCAGTCTTCACGAAATAAAAGTAAGGTAGAGGCTGGTAACAATAAGGAAGCTGGAAGCTCATGGGGATTTTAATTTATAATGATCTAATATAAACGATTTTGACATACAAAATAACTTAATAAGAACACACAAAAAACAATGTGAAGATCATCAAAGAAGGGTCCCGAAAGAAAGTCATCTACTTATCCCACTCAGTAATTTTCACAACTCTGCTATACTAACAGAAGATGCATAAATCATAAATTAAAAATATAGCTCCCAATAAGGCGGGGAGAACAAAGATTATCTGGTAGCAGATCTAGTTACAGTCCAGCTTTAAACTTTTTACATTTAAATTTTATATCGCTTTCCATCTGCCTAAAACACCAACCCTAACAGCTACTTCAGCCTACAAAATTTCATTTTTACTTCTTTTCAAGAACTGTGAGGACACTGACATGAGATTCTGTTGCTTAGAACATATTTTTAGATTCTACCTTTTAGGCTAATTTCATTACAATTTATATTGAGTACATAATTTTGGATTCACTATGTCCAAATCACAAGTGTGGCCCATATATGGCTCCAGAGCCCATCGATCATAACATTTTGATCACAAAAAAGGCAGTAATATCTGATTCTTTATTTAATCTCCTTGTAGAGATTTTTTAAAAGTCATATTTCTTAAAAAAAAAAAAAAATACACGGTGACCACCATAAGCAGAGAAGTTAGAGGCAGCCCCATTCTTTAAATAAATTAATTAATATCGATCAGTGTGCACGGAATAAGGATAAGGCAACAATACCCACACCAAACCTGGCAGTCTCCAGATTTGTGTATCTGTGAACGTAAGGCGGCCACATAGGCCAGATGATTACTACTGCCAACTCAGCAGCTGAGCTTGGAGAAAAGGCGGCATCCACACACAGGCCACTCTTGAGAACCAGAACTTACAGCCAGTTTCGTGTGCCAGGGACTGGAGAATGTGGCAGTGATAAACCGGAAAAAGTCGGACAGAAACAGGGTTGTTGGCGGTAAGAGGAGCCTCCAGGGCTGCAATCCTGGAAGGCATAAGGCAGCCGCTGACGGGCTAACACCCCCACCCCGGAGCTGAAAGAAACTATGGGGGTCGAGGGCTCGTCCTTACCTTGTCATCCTCGCATCTCTTGCCCAGGCCCTCCCTGGCCTGCAGTTTGCTGCTGAGGCGGCCGTAGTCGGCCTCCTTCTGGTCGATCTGCTTCTTGTGCGAATCCACCAAGAGCAGGAGGTCCGAATTGCGCTTCTCCAGGCGCCCGCGGGCCACCTCGGTGCGCTGGACCTGGCCCTGCAGCTCGGCCACCTCCTCCTGAAGCAGGACGTGGCGGGAGGAGATGCTCCAGTAGTTGAAGGCGAGGACCGCTATCACCACCAGCAGTACCACCAACACGAAGGAGGGCAGGCGGCCGGCCCGCCGGTTGGCCCCGAAACCCACCATGGGGCCGAACCAGGCTGTACCCCGGGGCCTCGGCGCCGACACCTGCGGGCAGAAGCTCAGGCCTCCGCTGCTGAGTTGCCTGGGGGACGCGGCCCCTGGGCCGGCCGAAGCAGGAGGCGGGCCGATCCGCCCGCCGGCTAGCCGGAGAAGGGGGCGGGGCCGCAAGCCGCAGGCCCCTCCCCGCCCCCCTCCTCAAATCCGGCCAAAGCGAGTTCCCGAAGCTTTCAACGAGACGCTGCACCAGCCGGGTGTAACCAGGAGAAGCCAGCTGCCCGCACCCCGGGCCTCACACCCCAGGGTTAGGGGGCGGGGAAAGGAGCCGGAAGGGGGCGGATTTAGCTCTGTCCCCGCCTACTGGCTGGGTCCGGGTCGCCTAGGGGGCCATTTCCTAGTTTCCGCCGACTCCCCCTCTTCTCGCGAGAAAGTGGGCTTCTCTCGCCCTTTGAAGTCTTATCTCGCGAGGGTTATCTCTGTTCGGAAGTGTGTTGTGTTAGTTTTGGCGGTGTCAGTTAACCCTTGGACCTGAGTTAGGGCTCCTTCAGCGTTTACCTGCTCAACTCCCTAGACCCTGGGAGTGCCTGCCTTATCCTGGCTCTCGTGAGAGTTCTTGTCTTTGAGGACATCTGGGGCTGTGACCGCTGTACAGGGAAAACAGTATGTGAGCTGCGGGCCGAGGGAGCGACAAGAAAGGTTTTGTAGTACTTGCTTCAGTAGAAGGAGATTTTCTCGTTTGTGGTAACAATGTGGAGAGAAAACAAACAAACAAAAAAAACCCAATAAAATAGCAGTGCCCCAAGCATAATGGAGAAAAGCAAGAGAAACTAAGCTTTATGGCTGAAAGGGGTGATGCCAGCCTGGTTTCCAAGGTTACACGGACGGAAAGAACTTCAGAATGTTTGAGCTCCTGTTCTTAAACGCACTGCTGCTTTTGCTTCGAACTGGACTTCCAAATGGAGAGTTCTGAACCTGCCCTCAATGAATGATAAGTGATGCTGTTACTGACAGCGAGCACATTCTGGGTTAGAAATAATAGCTCTCTTACAAATTGTTTTTGCATACCTAGCCTCATATTATCCTCTCAACAACAGTTTTACAGATGAGAAATCCAAGACACAAAGATGTTCCAAAAACTTTCTCAAAGTCCCATATCTCGTTTGAGACTGAGTTAGACGGGAATCCATACCATTGGTCTCTAACATCGTTGCTCTTTGCGTTATACCTGGCTAACTTGCTGTACTATATTACGTTATATTATATATTATATATATACTTTAAAAATATATTTTTATATATTACATATTATCAGCGTTAATTATATTGATGCAGGGAAAGTCCCCACCTCTTTTGTTTTTTTCTGCATATTTCCTTTGTTCTTGCATAAAACTTTTAAAAGCTATTGGCTCTATCCTGTTAAGAAGAAGGTGGAGTTGCTTTATTTTTCAGACCTCAGGTTCGAGAACTTCCATGACTATAAAACATCAAGAACGCAAAAACTTTGGTATTTTCATTCGAATCGGAGTGGTATGATTTTGAAGCAGGAAGACTTGTCATCTTTGAATAATTCTTCTATGCTTCCTGTCCATTCAAAAATAGAGTTACTTGCCTTATGGTCCTAGAGTTGGCTGGAAGAATTATTGCACCTTCAAAGAGTGATGATTTCTCTCTCATAGATACAGAAAAACAAATGACACCAAAATTATTAATAATTAGTTCACGTCAAACGTGAGCCTTTTGCTCTGGCTTCATAAGATCTAAGAAATTCCCTCCAGTCTCAAATGACAAGCAGACTGGAAAAAGGGAGCAAGGCAAAATGGGGAATCATGGACTATAATGAGCCTTCCCACGTATTTTTTCCTCAGCTTCATATTGACCTTGCTTTGCTTAGCCAGCAGTTGAAAATTAATCTGTGATGTCATGTTAACTGCTTAAGATGTTACTCAAAGAAGTATGTTCATTTTTTTTTAAGGAAGATTAGCCCTGAGCTAACATTTGCTGCCACTCCTCTTTTTGCTGAGGAAGAGTGGCCCTGAGCTAACATCTGTGCCCATCTTCCTCTGCTTTATATGTGGGATGCCTGGTGCAGCATGGCTTGATAAGCAGTGCATAGGTCCGCACCCAGGATCTGAGGCTGCAAACCCTGGGCGACTGAAATGGAGCACGTGAATTCAACTGCTATGCCACTGGCTGGCCCCAAAAAAGTATGTTCATTTTTGTATGGGATTCTGACAACTGAAAGTATAATATTGTAGAAAACACATTCACATACATTTTTTCATCACATGCTTAAAAGAACTATTTGGTACCGTTATTCCACTTTATAGATGCAGAAGTAACTTGCTTTAAGTCATACATCTAGTAAGTGTCAGGGCTCAATCTTGAAAACCAATCCTCTTCCCACTGTTCCCCCAGGAAAATTTTTTTTCCCCTGTTTTGATGGTTACCTCTTCAAGCTATTCCCCCTACTAATGAGCCCAACTCAAATATTATCAAGATAGTGTCTAAGTGTTTGTTATAGATGGTTCTGGGTTAGGCATTAATCAAACTGAGGTAAAAGTCAATTCCTTAATCCAAGTGATCAAGGTCAACAACAACATTCATAAATCATATTGTTAGTATGTGACATTGATACGATGTGATGAGAGTAGGACTCTGTGGTCTTCCTCCCCAAAACTCATAACCCTGGTCTAACCATGAGAAAAACATCAGATAAATGTCAGTTGAGAGACATTTTACAAAATACCTGACCGTAATCCTACAAACTGTCAAGGTCGTCAAAAACAAAGAAAATCTGAAAAACTTTCACAACTAAAGGAAGTTTAAGGAGACCTAACTACTAAATGTAGTGTAGTATCCTGGCTAGGGCCCTAGAACAAAAAAGAACATTAAGTAAAAACTAAGGAAATCTGAATAAAATATAGACTTTAGTTAATAATAATGTATTGTTATTTGTTAATTGATTGTCACAAAAGCACCATGCTAATATAGGATGTTAATAATGGGGGAGGGGCTAGCCTCATGGCATAGTGGTTAAGTTTACACGCTCTGCTTTGGCGACTTGGGGTTTGCAGATTCGCATCCCAGGTGCGGACCTATATGTCTCTCATCAAGCCATTCTGTGATGGTGTCTCACATACAAAAGAGAGGGAGATTGGCACAGATATTAGCTCAGCAACAGTCTTCCTGAGACAAAAGGAGGAAGATTGGCAATAGATGTTAGCTCAGGGCCAATCTTCCTCACCAGAAAAAAGAAATAAATAATGACGGAGACTGGATATGGGGTATATGGGAACTCTGTACTATTTTCACAACTTTTTTGTATTTCTAAAATAAAATTATTTTTAAAAAGTCAGTTCCTGTTTTCTGAGATATATTTAGGTTATCAAGTATAGACATAAATATATTCATATAAACTGGAAGGCAGTATAATGACAGAGAAATAATGTTTTAAGATTTAATTGAGTAAGAATCTGTTATAGAGTGGCAAGTGAGGAATTGTAGGAATCATAGGAATTTTTCTGTTTAGACAGAGTTTTTATTAAAGGCAAAAATCATGTCATTTATTTCTCTTGTACAGTCCTGACCCTTTCTCGAGCTCAAAACACTATTTGACATATATTACCTTCAATATATGTTGACTCATAAAAAATTTGACACACTGGAGTTGAGCAGAGGCGTGGATTATTTTATACCTTATTCCTCAATATTTAGGACTTTGGGTAGGACTAGGTTAGAGAGAGTGGCAACTCATAGAAATACAAAATACACAGATGTGTTAGGCGAGCTCTTTCCACTGCAAATGAAAAAACTCAACCTAGGGGCCGGCGCGGTGGTACAGCAGTTAAGTTTGCATGTTCTGCTTTGGCGGCCGAGGCTTAGCTGGTTGGGATCCCGGGTGCGGACATGGCACCACTTGGCAAGCCATGCTGTGGTAGGCATCCCACATATAAGGTAGAGGAAGATGGGCACGGATGTTAGCTCAGGGCCAGTCCCTCTCGGCAGAAGGAGGAGGATTGGCAGCAGATGTTAGCTCAGGACTAATCTTCCTCAAAAAAAAAGAAAAAAGAAAAAACTCAGCCTAAACTGGCTTAAGCAAAAAATAAAATAAAATTTAATTTAATTAAAAATATGTATTAGGTGTTATTTCTCCCTGTAGTTCTATCAATTTTTTGCTTTATATATTTTTGAGGCTACATTAATAGATGCACATAAATACAGAAATGTATTTCCTGGTGAATTGAATCTTTAATCATTCTGTAATGAACCTCATTTCCTCTAATAATATTGTTGCCTTAAAGTTTACTTTTGTTCAAAAAAAAAAATATATGTATTAGGGGTCAGCCTGGTGCTGTAGCTGTTAAGTTCATGTGCTCCCCTTCTGCAACCCAGGGTTCTCCAGCTCGGATCCTGGGCACAGACCTATGCACTGCTTATCAAGCCATGCTGTTGCAGGCATCCCACATAGAACATAGAGGAAGATGGGCACAGGTGTGAGCTCAGGGCCAATCTTCCTCAAAAGAAAAAAAATGTATTAGAAGGATACCAGGATAGTTCATGGTACTATTGGAAGAGCAGCAGGATCTGGAGTACCTACAGGGGACTTGATAATTCCAGTATTCAATTTTCTGTTTCTGCCCTCTGCTTGGCTTTATTCTCTCCTACTTCAGATGGTCCTTTTCCTTGAAGACAGGAAATATGGCTCCAGTATCCTTAGGTCACATCCTGCCAGTTCCGTGATCTGATAAGCAAGCAAGTTCTGTCTTCTGGCTTTCAGTACGAAAATTACAGGGAAGGATTCTGGTTGTTCAATCCTAATCGTTCATATGCACACCACTAACCTATGACTGTGGCCAGGGAGGTGAGGTATTATGATTGGCCAGTATAAGACACTCCTCTGTGGCCTGTAGACAGTCTGATATCATGAAATAGAAATAGTGCTGAGTAGACCCTAATACATAATGTTAGCTACAATTGTTTTCTTTTTCTTAAGATGTGTTACCTCCCTTCCAGTTAAGAACAACTAATGAATTAATAAAGACATGGTGTTGCAGGCTGGGTTCCCCAGGAAACAGACTCTGAGATGGAGATTAGTGATAGAAAGTTTTTTAGGGTGTGTTCTTGAGATCATCACTCACAAAAGGGAAAGAAAAGGAGGAAAACAGGATGAGCAGAGAGAGAAGTTGGGCTGCTCTGCAGTCTCAGTGAAAGCCTCAGCCAATTCCATGTAGAGCTCTGAAGCTGGGATGGCCCTTCAGAGATGTCCTGAGTCAGAGGGGTCCAGGCCTTTATACCTCTACACCAACCAAGTTTTGGATGGCTA